ATAGAGCCAAAGATGTTAGAATTGTGTTGATGTCCCAATATTTCTGGACCTGACTGTATCTCTAGTACAACCCTAGGTGAAGAAGTTTTTGTTCTTATCCTGTTAATTACACTTTGCAATAGTTGAAAAGGATAGGAGTAAAAGGTTTTCCACCTTGTTTCATTTTGCGTATACAGTATGTATAGTTATTCATCACTGCATTCCCCCAAAAGTGCAAGTTGTCTCAGTTCCTGATTTCCTTTAGGGTTACCAGTCCTGGGTTTCAAAAATCTGAATGAGACCAGGTGGCAGCAAACGTTAGAGCTTTCTGCACTGTATCTTGTTGCTGCCACTTAGCTCAGATCTGATAGGCCCAATTTCCAGAAGATTTCAGTTCTAATATTAGCAATAAAAGATTTTAAAACCAGAGACACTCTCTAGTGATAGGCATCTAACACAAAACTCCCCATTCCCAATACATTGAAGAAATTAATATTAAACCTGATAATAGAATTAAAATACTTTTCTATTACAATCCTATGCTAGAAGTAACAACTTGAGTTCCATGGGATTTACTCCCAAGTATTTGGGTGCGTACTGTATATATAGAATTTTCTCTTATTGGCACACATATTTTATATTTCTTTGTCTGTTTGATGCATTTTCGTACCTCTATAATCTCCTAAGACTTCCACATGAGAATTTACAAGGACTCCCAGAATTTCATTATAAATCCATTTTTATGGCTAGAGTTCGAAACTGTATTCTTATCTTTCCAAATTTCAGATTGCATTTGATAGGCAGATAGAAATTTAAGTGGTATATACTTAAAATGAGAAATGTTATCTTCTTTGACAGTCTATGATGGAATTTTTGTTGAAGCTTTATTTTGTTTTCTTTTCATAGAACATCCCAGAACAGACTCAGAGTGGGAAAACAGCTTTGCTTTGAAAATGTTTCTTTTCCAGTTTGTCAATTTAAACAGTTCTATTTTCTACATTGCATTTTTTCTTGGAAGGTAAGTTAACTGAAAATGAATAGAGAAAATAGTTTTGTGATATATTAAAATGTTTTTTAGAGAGATGACGGTGCTCCTGGACAGTAAAGTGTGCTTCACAAACCAGTACCTAAATATAATGAAGCTGCTTCATAAGGAAGGAAGGGGAAGGGGAA